CCATGTCCATCATTTCCACAGGAAATGAGAGCAGCCTAATTTATCACTGGAGGCTTTTCAGTCCAGTGTGATTATGATGCAACCACCTCTCTCTTGCTCAATAAAACTGATTTGCCAGAGATACCTGGGAGTGGGTATCTCCCACTGCAGTCTCTCCTATAAAATTTAAAGAATAGGTTTGAGGGGTTGTCCACAAAGAATAACAGATAAAGTTGCTCTTGCCCTGGGACAAAAGGATGAAGAGCAAGGGGACATTGAAGCCTTTTCCCCACCCTGTGCTTTTAACTCCACAAACCTACAAAGCAAAATAAGGCACAAAAGCTGTAACAGCGTGGTAGGAAGGCCTAAACAGTAACCAGACCGGCAAGAGGAAAACTCTTGTTACTGCATTATAAGTCCAGGGACATGATACACACACAGCATTAACCAACTATGGTTCCAACAACACCAAATCTCATATACAACAGTTCCTTTAAAGAAAATCACCTACACACAATTAGGCTTCCTATCTTCCCCTACACAAGCTTTCTGCCTAATTAGGTTATTTTTATGAGGATATTAATGTCACCTTGAAGAATGTTGGCCTGAAGTCCGGTGACAAAGCAATGAAACTGTTAAAAAGCAAAATCCAGAGATGTATTAAGAGTCAAATTCATCTCTTAGTTTGGTGTTAATAAAAAAAGAAACTTCTTCCTGTTATCAGTTTATGCTGAGAGTTTTGAAATAATAATCAAAAGGATATGAGAGATTAGGAAAAGTTTGCCTCCGATTGAAGTGCCCAGAATCTCCTTGATTTATACTGACAATTAACCCCTTCCTCCTTAAAATAATTCAGCAGGGAAGGTACTGGCTTGACAGTCTTCAAGACTGATATCCTCTTTGTGCAGCAAACAGACACACACAGAGGAGAAAGTAAAAACTGGCTTGTAGAGCCCTGGGAGAGTGTTGAGGCCCTGCCCTGCAGGAGGAAGATCTGTTCCAGTTCTAACCTTGGCCATTCTGCAAAGACCAGCAACAATGCCCAGATTCACACTGAGATTTAAAACATTTGGATAATTCAAATATTGCAGCACCTGTTTATCTGATAAAACCAAAGTTAATATAAGATTCCAGGCCTGGAAAGCACTGTCTGCAAGTTCTGAGACACTGGTTTCCAACACCTCCTCCGGTGGGATTTGCTGAGCATGGGTTGAAAACCAAGCAGCAGCTCCCTCACCTTCAATCAAGATTCTATTGCCTTTTTCTCTCCACCTTTTCCATCTCCTTTTTGCACTCATCCCCTCCTTTGGATCTGAACTGGCATTGCCTTCTGTGTAAGTTCATTTATATAACTACTCAAATATCTCCTTCCTTCCTTCCACACATTCACAGGCATTTCACTCTTATGACTAAATGCCACAGGAAAACAGAACCCTCTGTCAGTAATGACTTACTAGTAGAGTCAATAAGCAAATAGGAAGGACCAGCTGTAGAAACAACTCAAACTGGGAGGTTCTAGCTATAAAAGGATCCCTTAAAAATAATAAATTATGGCCTGGATACACCAAAGAAGGTTGTAGAATCTTATATAATGTAAGTATAAGGTACAAGCCAAAAGTAGCTGCCAAGAACAGATCACAAATGCTTATGCCTGGCTTAGCTAAGGATATTGTAGCAGTTCTTGTGACATCCCTTCCTTACTTTACATTAATTTTAAATGATAAGATTAATTAAGCAAAATGCATACTTGTTTTAAAACAGCAATATACACTGTCAGGCATCTGACAGTGCCACAACCCACTACAACCACTAAAAGTCATAAAGTACAAAAAAAAACCCCCAAACCTCTCACTGAGTCACTCTGGGAAAGGCAGCTCAGTAATATCTCTCCAACAGCTCTACCACAGTCAAAGATGTTCCAGAGAGCAAGCCCACCAGCTGACAGTGTGCCCATGAGACACAGTGCTGTAAATCTACCACTATCTGGTATCATTTATGTTTTGTATGTTAGAAGAAACAGAACTACCAGTTTTATCCTGGGTACAAGTACTTAAGAAATATATATATATATACATATATATATATAAAATGTATTCTTCACAGTACTCCCAAGCACACCACACCTCCACATCAGCCCCGTTTCTCCTTTCACATTAGACAGCTGGATGCTGCTTATCTTTAAAGCACCTCGAAGACATTAAATAAATAGGAGAAACAGGATCCCAGCCCCAGGTACAAGGTCCGTATTTGGACAGGCACACCTTCCCTGATCACTCAGCACTTTTGAAACGTGGAGAACATAAATTTGACCACACAAGTAAAGACTAACAACTGACTAATGAATGGAGGACTATCATTCCTGAGTATTCAAATAGAGGGCTCACAGTACAAGCACACACAGCGGGAACACCCTGAGGAGAGTGACCCTTTAGCAGACACCACCCACCTCATTAAGTCATCCAAAAGTACTGATGCCCTCTCTTTGTATTTGTACTTGAACTTGCACCCTCTCAGTGCCAGTTTCATTATGTGTGGAGTCCATACATCACCAAATGGCACTGGCATTTCCACCTATCTTTTCTCAAGGGTTTCCATGTCACATCACCACTATGACTCATCGTGTCTTGTTTCTCGTACGGCTTCAACGCACCTCTCTAGACATCTTCATAAATAAATATTTCTTTGGAGGCACCCATACTCAGCTGCTTGGTATTTCAGATCTAAAAGGCATTTGTTTTGCATTGTGTCTTATGCATCTTATATTCACCTTTGCCCAGCCATTATTAAGAAAGTATTTCATTAACTGATTCAAACTAGTTTGCTAATATTTTGACAAAATTCAGTTTTTCTAAACTAGTTTCTGTAACACCTGATATTTGAGTGAACATGAATTTGAAGTGTTATAGTGATGGCTAACAAAATCAAAATGCAGGTTTCATACTCCATGCTGAATAAACCACAAAGTTCAATTTGTTTATGAATAAAGGTGCAGCAGAAATGCTAAGAGATCATTCACAGCACATATGACCATTAACATAAACATCTGAGCTGTAACAAGTTAAGAGAAGGCAACCTCTATCCAGTGCAACAAACTACTTTAAATGGAGTTTCCACAGAAAAGGATGGAGGGGAAGAAATCACTGACAACAATTGTCAGTTACAGAGCAAAACAAAAATTCCAAACCCTCAAAACAGGCCAAGCATTCTTTGCTAAATCAAAGTGAACCCACTGTATGATACTCACAAAACAACAGACAAATACATTACTGAAAAAGCTCTGGAGACATGGGGGGGTTTTTTTGAGACACTTTTGAAGGGAAGGCTTCATTGCACTTGTAAAGTTAGTTACACAGCTAAGTCTAGAACTAGCCTGGATTTTCCCCAAGTTCAATCATTTAGCTGGGAGCTGCAGACCAGCCTGAAATGCAACTGTGGCAAACCACGAGGCTCTCCTTCCTGGAAGCACATCAAGGTTCTTGCGTGAAATCTGATCATCAGCAGAGCAGGATTAATGACAGAGGTGGTCAGGCTGATAAAGCACCAGAACAGACACCTGCTTAAGTGAGCTTGGAACTGCACCTACGATAAGGTCACAACGCATCTCACCCCTCTGGGCCAAAATTGGAGAGACACTTTGGTCGAAACTGAGGAGAAAGAAAAGGTTTTAGCACTCACTGACTCCCTGCAGGAGGACTGCGGTTGTTTCTGGGAAAACAGGCACCAGATACTGAGACCACCTGCACTGCTCCCAGAGCAACGCCAGCGAGTGCAGACCCCCAAACAAACAAAAAGCCCCAAACAAACATCTGTCAAGCAAGCCCTTGTTTTCAGTTGTTACACAAGCTGGCTTTATAAAGAAATTATCTGTACCGAGTCTCCTACACACCTCAAATAAAATTCTTCATGTCTACCCATTTGAAAGAATGAAAAACTTGTGTGAGTGAAAAGTAAAATTTCATATATCTAGCTAAACAGAAAAACTTCTGCGGAGTGACTTGCCTTTACACAAGAGCCAACATATGCATGGAGATCTGAATGCTTTTGGGTATTAAAGCAACTTTAAAATAATTTTCTTTTTCTAATTCAGGCATCTATTTACAGCAATAAAATTGCATAAAAAGTTTTTGGGTTTAGCTTAAAGAAAAGAAAAACCCGCATGAGGTGTCATGGAATGGACATAATATATTGTAATATAAAGTTTTCTGGCATTTCCCAGAAATAAAAATAACATGGAAGGCAACTTCACGTAAAGCCAGGGACTAGGACAAGGAAGCAAATTATCTTTCTGCCTGCCTGAAAGCCTGGAGGTCAACTCAATGTCCTGTTCTTCCACAATAAACCTCCCCAGAACAGTCAGAGCAGCAGAACCACCAGCACTGCAAAACTGGGGGTGCCTGTATAGTTTGACAGATTGCTTTAGAAAGATCTTGTCCACGTCCCACATTCATAGCAGCAAGTCACTGACAACATCAGACTTTCTCATTCATATTACTCACATCAAACCAATCCCTGCTTGAGTTAGAAGTAAATAACAAGCAGCAAAGGAAACAGAAGAGCAGCTAATTGTATTTCAGTGCAATAAATGCCGTGGTTTCAAATTCAGGAACCATGTGTGAATCTCCCCAACACATGCATCTGGTGCTGAGAGGCAAAGACTGCCAAAGGAATGTGCATCATCCCACAAAACCAATAAACTAGCTAAATTGAAGACATTTACACTTACATATAGAGGAATCGATAGCTATCAGTGTTTAAAACACTACATGAATGCAAAAATACACGACAGAGGTCCCAAAATAAACCAGTTCTTTTTAGCTTGTCCTGTTTCTCCCAAATAGCTCTGTAACTCGCCAAATAAATTACAAGTGACATAAAAACAGCTGGAAGGGTGACAGAAGAAATGTTTGGGACCTGAAGGTTCTTCACCACTCCTTCAGCTGACACTCTGATACACTCTCCTCCTCAAACATGAAGCAACCAACATGAAGAGAGGGGGGGAAAAAAAATAAATAAACACACACCTTGAACACCTCAGAGAAGAAACCAGAGCCGATTTTCTCACATGTGAAGTCATCGAGACGAGTAAGTCTGGAAAAGGCACTTATCAGGGCTCTGTATGAAGAGGTACAGACTCTCCCTATCTGGGATGCAGTCCCTTCTCCAGTGCCACCATCGAAGTCTTCCGCGCGCTCCAGGCGTGGTGGAAATCCCGCGATGGAATTCCGCTTACTCCGGTCCATTTTGGAAACAAGGGTTGATTTCACTACGGGAGGACTTCTCACATCTTAGGTAATGTGCTGTCTTCTCTACTCTTGCTGGATCCTAAAACACAAGAAATTGAGATTGCCATCATTGTGAACGTGTTTAAGAAGTCTGGTGGGACTCCCAACAAAGCTTGCACCAGTTTAAGGGAATAAGAAAAGCAAGAAGATATCCAGGTAGAGGCACAAAATAAACAAAGAAGAAAAACCAAGCCACCAAAACCACCACACAACAACTGCAATCTAATGAACTTGTCCTTTAGATTCATGGAAATACACTATGCTCTGCCTATTCAGAGATGAATAGGGTTGGAACTCAAAATTTAACCGGTAACAAACAATTTTCACTCTCTTTCCCCTATCCCTTTTTTTTTTTACTGAAGTTCTGGTTGCTAAAGCAAGCAACTAAGCAGGAGGAAACCCACAAAACGTAACATTTTATTCTACTTCAGTTGCAGTTGGTGACCAATCTACTGCTATCGCAAGAAACAATTTCACTTTCGGGACTGAACAAAGGATCCCTAATTATAAAAAAACAGATCAGCTTTCAGTTGTCATAAGGAAAATTATCAGCTGAAGCACCGAAACCTTTGTTTTTAAAACTTCCCCTTACGAGTGTTCCAAGACTAATTCCTTACCTGGTAGGAATACAAGTTTATACCCACTGAAGACCCAGACCCCAAATTTATAAAAATACCTACAATCCTGCTACAAAACTAAGGTATTCTTCTAAGAAACTGCCCGAATTCTCCCCACAAACATACTTTTTAAAGCTATATTAATTTCGGTTCAACTGAAAACACAGGAAACAAGTTACCTTTGCCAAGTATGAGAAAGGGAACAAAAAAAAATAAATGGAGGAGGGACCAACAATTTTATTTTTCTTTTTAAGAGGATGATGAAGTAAACAGGGTGACTCTGGAGCCCATCAAATTCAGCTTGGACCGGCAAACTTGATAGGTGGTTGGCCTGCCTTTTTTTTTTTCCTCTTTAACCTTAGACTTAGGAGGTTATTTGTCTTTTCCAAACTTAACTGTTCATTTACAGCAATTTGGTGAGCCCCTACAAGCCTGAACAAAGTGAACAGTCACAAAGAGATTCTTCTCTTCCCTCTCCCCTTGAGGGTGAATGAAAAACCGGAGAGAAACAATAAAATACATAAATAAATAAATAAAGGTGGACGAAATAACCACAGAGCAGGCAATTACACTTCTATTTACACAGATGTACAGAACCTGAACAATGCACTAAATTTGAAAAGCATCTCAAAAACAGGCACAGCAGCTGTTCCCTGAATATACAGCAGTGTTGCTGCACCCATGTTTTGTATGCAGCCTATTTTTTTAGAGATGCTCCGTGCCAACACAGCAGGCAAACACACAGAAATCAGCTCTGTTGAACTGCTTGGAATGAATTTGAGGTTGTTCCTCTCCAAAATCGAAGGGTGTTCATTTCAGACATCTTAACACCTCTCTAAATGGATGCTGGTGGGTATAAGACAGTTACTTACCAGGGCCTGATTATGAAAAATTTCATCTCTATCAAGTGCCACATCACGGTATTCCTACAGAATTTTGAATGCAGGCTCCCACATGCCTGAGTTTCCTGCACTTTCTGACCCTGTGTTCTTGTCCCAGGAGCCCTGACGGTCTGGAAAGGGCACAGAAGCACCACGGGATGGTAAAACCCGTTACATCTCCTCAGCTGGGAAAAATAACCCAGAGAACTTCCTCAGCTATATAGACAAGGTGCCCAGGAATTTCCAAGGCATGCTTAAATAATTCCTTTTGATTTGAAAGGGATAAACTATCATTTGGTTACTTTTCAAGAGGATAAAGAAAGAACTGTCTGTGGCAGAGGGATAGACAGAAGAAACCGTGGTATTAATTAACAATTATTTTTCTGGAGCAGGAGATGCAAGTACCTTTGGAGACTGACCAGACTTCACTAGAAAGAAGATACCAAGTTAGATAAGTGATATTAAACAGGAGGAAAAGCCTCCCTCTCTCAAGTATCCAGATCCCATTAACACAGGGTAGTCTCAACATAGTTTCTCAATCTATTTAACAAACAAAATCTCCCTGGCACGCAGTATAAATACCAAAAGGTTTTGCCATCTGGATTCCCAAGTAACCCATTCCTTCGTTTTTGCCTGCTAGAGGTTGCCTTATTTCCAGACAGCCACATGAAATTCTTGGAAATTATTAGGAGAGAGCTCCACTTGCCTCTTCCCCTGCCCAGGATTGCATACACGGAATTAGAGGAAAATTTCAAGTGGGTGCACTTCCAAGTGGGCCTCCTGTCATTTTGGCCAATTACACTAATGATCACATTCTCAATGAAATCAACCAAGGTTTAATTGACTGTCAAGTCAGTCTGAGGTACTTTAATTTACTACCTTGTATGGTTAATTAAAGTGCACTGAACAGAATCCAAGACTATCCTGACTATCCTCCAACGAACTAAAAGGTTGTTGGGTGGGATTTTTTCATACTACGGTTCAGCATAAAAACTCTTAAGTTGTTCTCCATAGACAGTTACAAAATAAAAAGACACTAAATACTTTAAAAAACATTTCCCAATAAATTCTCAGCTTTCAGCACAATTTTTCTGACATCTTTACACAAAAAAAATGCACCCCACTCTGCCAAGACAAAAATAATTCAGAAATACGCCTCTCAAAATGCATATCTGCCCTATTCAGCCTATTTCTTATATTAGTGAAAAGCAAAATTTCAGCATGTTTCATGCCCTGTCATGTTTTCATTTTTTGCCTGACCAAAACACACCTTGAAGGAAAAAAAAGATCCATATGAATATTATTATAAGATCAGTTTCTTTGCTGCATGAATATATTGATTTTTTTTAAACGCAGAAATTACTATAAATACAGCTACTATCAGCACTAATTTGGCTAATTAGAGGTTTGCTTTTCAAAACCAATGCCTGAACCTGCAATTATTTAAAGATGGAAATCCCACAACGTCACATCAAGTTATACCCTAAGCATCAGGGTCTAACAGGTGGCATCTGTTAGCCAGTTCTTAACACTTTATACTTCACAGACATAAAAATGGCAAAGGCTCCTCAACTTGAAGCAGCATCCCTTTAATGCCTTGGGGGTATAAAACAAGATCGCTCCAAAAAAATATTCCAACTCATTGCTAAGCAGTTTTCTGTCCCTGGGATCTGTATAAATATGTGCATATTTGCACTCAAATGTCAAATTCCTAATTTCCTAAAAGATGGCCTTAACAACAACAACCATTTTTAGACACCAAAGGCTGTCGCTGGGCACTCGGCCTGGAGAGCAATAAATCTGCTGGACGCGTGTTATTAATCTGAAAAGGTTTTCTGAAGAACAAGATGCCAAAGCTTTGACAAAAGTCACTTGCCAAGAGTTAACTATTTAAACTCGCAGTCTGACGTAGCTTTGACAGCCAGTACGACAAAAACATGAAGGAATTAAAGGAATTTCACTGGCAAGTGCCACTGGACAAAATAACAATATGAAGGGGGGAAGACTTCACCACAGTCCTGTGCAAACTTCAGAAAGGCTTCAAAAAGTGAGAAGAACAAAACCTTCCAAAAACTGAATTGACTGTGAGGTCATTAGCCTGGAGAAAAGAAAAATAAAAAAAAGGGGAAAAAAAAGTATTTGAAAACAAAACACAAGAAATCAAACCAAACAGGCAAAGAGAACCAGGCACTCAACAGTTTTGTTCTCAGCTGCTGTCACCTGCTTCCCTAGCAGAGGGAAAGTTCCTTAGTTTGTCCATAACTTAGCTCCTTGTCCTTGGGAGAAAGACAACATCAAATATTTACAGCTGAGGAACATTAAAGCACCAAAGCTTGCCCTGTGTTGGGCCCAGCTCATCCTGAACCTGCAAGTCTTCTTTGACTACTGTACAGGACAAGTCTCTGGGTTCACTTTGTAGTCTCAGTTACAACATTGCACTTGAACAGGGAAATACCAGTATTTTCTATTTCCATTTAGGTAATGTTTTGCTTTAATCTCATCTCCCCTGCTCAGCATAGTTCCTAGCTCTAGCCAGTACTGTCAGAGCATAAACTTCCCACAAATTAGGGCTGGCATTCCTCAGAAGAGACCTGCATTAGCCCTACTACACCACTCCAGAAACTGGAAGTCTGCTGAACTGCATCATGGTTTTATAATGCAAACAAACCTCCACGAGAGGCTGAGCTGAGACAAACAGGTCATTTATTTTGTGACTGTAGCCAAGTCTGAAACAAGTAAGGGAGACTTGCCATTAACTTACTGCAGAGCTCAGGGACAAGGTTGTAGGTTTAGAAATATTTTCATCAGGCACAGGCATAAATTCTGGCATAGGCATATTTAGAAGGCAAATAAAACTGGGGGGAGAATATTAAAAACTCACAAACAAACACTTGGTCCTCATGCCCACAGTATAAGGGCCAACGTTTTCTGGAGTCCAATTATAACACAAAATTAAACCTCTCCAGAAGGACCTTGCAACAATCCATTCCTCCCCCAGCCTGGTTTTAGTCACTCCAATCCACAGTGCAGACAGGCTCTAGCCTAGTTACAGAGCATCCTTAGAGTTAAATAATCACTCAAGTAGATCATCTACAAGACACAGCTGCTGCTTCAAATGGATAATTTTAATATATTGTGTTTGCTTAACAAAACAGCTCAGCAAAGACACTGAGAAGCTGCTCATGCCTCCCAGGTGTCAGCAGGCTGACATTTCCTGAGCCCTTAACAAAAACAAAGGGAATCAAAGCCTTCTAATGCCAACAGGTATTGTAACATCTCAATAATCCAGGAATTTCCCCCTCAGCCTCTCTGGGGCCCAGGTTTGCAGCTGAGGGCTCCGCTCTTTTAGCACCGGGGGATTCACAGGAGATGGGAAGCAACTTTCTGTTGTTCCAGTGCAGACAGGGAGACAATCCAGCAGAGCAAAGGCAAGGAAAGGGAATGCTAATGCCTGAAAGAAGGATGAACACACAGTAAGCAGGCTGAATTTCCTACCTGACTGACCTTTCTTGGACACGATCTTACACTTATACACCATCACA